ATATTCCATATTCCATATTCCATATTCCATATTCCATATTCCATATTCCATATTCCATATCCCATATCCCATATTCTATATTCCATATTAGTGTAGAAAATTTTTCAATTTATTTTATTTATAAATAATGTTTTTAATATTACAGCAGTCTCTCAAGTTAGCAAAAAATAATTACCGCTTGATATTCTCTAAAAAACTTTCCATTTCATTATTAATTATCTAATAGCTATAATAATAATAAGGGAAATAAAATAATATTGATTACAACTCAACTGTATAACTAATATGATTCAATTTGCCGACTATGCTCAGCCCTCTTTGCAACGAGAGCTCCTCAATTGATCGCCGCGGTCGTTCCATTTGACATTGCTCCATAATTTATTCTAAGGCAATGTCAAATCGCTCAAAATTTTCAAGAGCTCAGACCAATGTGCGAGCTATTTTAGATCTCGCTTATTTAAGCGAGTCATGCAAATAAAGCTATAAAGCACTGTAAGAAAAGTTGACGCAGTTATTTGAGTATTATGTTGCTCCATAATAATAAAAATAATAATTCATAAAATTTTCCAAATGAAACAAAATACTATATAAATTATCGACTATTTTTAAATTTCTTTTTCAATTGTTGCATTTGGTCAGCCCATATCAGAAACATACAGCTAGATCAGATTTCACAGGCCAATTGAAACTACACAAAGTAATTTGAGTGCCACTTGACACTGTTCTTTGCACTCGCTGCCCGAAAGTGTTAGCTTGAGGCGTCACGAACGCCACTTGAGCAACGCGGCCCAGTTGAGCCGGGCAGCATGTCGCTGTTTGTATACCTTAAAGAGTTGTGTTCAAGCACAGCGAGTTGCTGGTGCCATAGCACAATCGGGCCTATCATTAGAATCTTGGCAGTGCAGGCCCATACTTATGTCCAATCAGCTCACTAACTAATAACTCTATTATTACTGCGAGCTGCTCTTGCTGCTGCTGCTGCTGCTGCTGCGACTGCAGCTGCAGCGGAATACGTTCATTTGAAATCAAATCAAACTTTCCGCATGCAAGACCCTAATTCCAATGCCGGAAGCGCGAGTTCGTCTAGGCCTGCAATTCCACTTGCAAATTAGTCAGAGCTGCTTACGGCGGCAGCTGCCACTGGCGAAATCCGAGAGTCGAGACTCGAGAGTCGAGACGTTAGTATGCCGAAAACCTAGCGGACAAATTCATACGTGGATAGATCCGCACGCCGGCAGGAGGGGGGATTGATGGCGGGGATAATGCGACACGGCTGCTTCACGCCAAAGTGCGCTGATGGCTAGCCATAAAAGCCAAGTGAATCAAGCACAGTGGAGTGGGAGATGAGAGAAGTAAAGAAAATATACACAAATGATTATTTATTAATTTAAAAATAATAATTTGAATTTTTCATGTTTAGAAAAAGTTGAATTAACAATTGTTCATTTTTTATTTTTCAAATAATTCAGAAATAAATAGTATTTTAATTAGTTATATATTATTTAAAATTAAGAAATTTATCATTTCAGTTATTCATTTATTTGATTTTTTATTTATTATGTATTTTTACGTTGATTAATAATATATTTTAAAATAATTATAATAATAAAATCATTAACCTAAAACTAATAAATTTCTCTATTCGTTTGTAAATTTATTATTTTTATACATATATATATAATTCTCTTCTTTTTTTATGTTGTTAGTTATTAATTAACTATATTTAATCAGTAATACATTTACTTTATTTTTTATTTATTAATTTTTTTTATATATAAATTTTTTTTTGCATTTATTAATTGTTTTTTTGTCTTTTTATGTAATTTGGTTTCATTATTTATTATTTATTTATGTATTGTTATTAATTTTTTAATTTTAATTTGTATTTTTTAACTTATTTTATTACATAATTTCTTAAGTATTTATTGATTATTATTCAATTATTATAAAATTATTTTTTAATTATTATTATTTAAATTATTTTATCGTAAATATATGCCAAATTTTGTGGCAAGTATGCACCACGCTTGCACCACTGTGCCGCAGACATGTGATCACAATGATGATAGTTCCGACTCTGACGTCGCTTTGTCTGCAGATGCGCTCCACTACGAAGATATTCAGCCGGTTGTGGGTTGTGGGTTGTCGTTGCGCAGCTGCTGTGGAGTCCACGGTTATGCTTGTGACTCTAGCAGTTATTGTTATTGTGGTTGTTGTTGTTGTTGTCTGCGACTGCGCACGCGTCAATTGTGAGCTCAGACGACAGTTACAAATTGTCTATTTTGGGCTCAAAGCCAATGAGAAATGGCTAATGGCCAAAACAAGAGAGAAAAACCTTCGCTTAACGTGGATAAGATATTTTTTGTTGTCTCCAACAATTGCTGCCATTTAGCCTAAGCCAAGCATTCGTTTATTCATTCATAAATATTTCATATAATTGACTCGCACGACTTTGAAAAACAAATGCGAGTGCACTCGAAATACTCACACAAGTCAAGCCGATGACACCTTCAGGTGTTTAGCTGTTGTTGTTTTCTTTTTGTTTTTTGTTTTTAATCTTTTTTTATACATATATGTATACACTTTTATGGCAGTCGCATTGAACTTGACTTGGGCTAATTAACAAACAAGGTAAAACGTTATGTGGTGTGTGTGTGTGTGTGTATGTCTTATCTTGTTGACTTCTGGCTTATTTTCGCTCTGATGAGCATGTTAACACAGTTAGCAGGTAGCTGGCACTTCGTTCTTGAGGCTGAAAAGTGCCGCTAAAGTGTGAGATTTGATTGAGGAGATTACTGCCGTTGATATATAACCATATATTTTATATGGCTGATAACAGTTCTTTGTAGTCAAAATCTAGATAATATAGTGTGATTAAGCGAGAGTGTTAATATAAACAATTGCTGATTAAGCTATTTATTGGATTTAAGCAGAAAAATATTGAATGGAGACTTATTTCGTCTTGAAATACATATATGTATATATTTTTTAAAATTAAGGTTTATATTTTATATAAATCTTAACTGGTCCAAACATAATATTATAACAAAATATTATTATTATTATTGTTTATTTATTTTTTTTTTTTTAATTTATTTTGTTATTCGTTTCCTTATATTTCACTTCTTCAAGTGCTTTTAAACACTTCCCATTGCAAACATATTTTATACAATTTTAATAGGTAAATATTATAAGTGAATTAACCATAGCAATACCAAATAAAATTGCATGCAAAAACCAATGCGGTTTGGCCTAAGCCGCCAGAAACTTTATTTCCAATTGGAGCACACGATAGACACCTAACCAGCTAGTTGGCCTTTGGGCTATGCCTAGCCAGACTATAGTTAAAAGCTGTTGAAACTGCATAAAAAAATAGCGCAAATAATAGCTGCAAACAAGGGGCGAAGCCAAGTAGCTGCTACTACAAAAGTTAGGCTGAAATGAAAGCAAAAAGACTTGAGTCTTATGGAAATAAAATTTAGTGTTATTTAATATAATATATATATATTTATATTTGATAAAACTTAAGCTGAAAAATAGGAAAAATAGAATTTAAAATATATACAAAAATAGATGAATTTTAAGCCAATTGAATTTTGTATAAATATTTACCTTTAATATATTATTTATTTTTATATATTATTTACTTTTTATATTAAACATTTTTTATTTATAGTTGGCAAAATAGAGACAAAAAAACTAGCAATAAATTTCATAAGAACTTTGTAGCAATACAACGGCAAATAAATTTTAATTATCATACAAATAAGTTTTATTTCATTTAAATTTTTAATAAATATTTAGCTCGAGTGTATGAGAAATTTGAGCAATTTTTAAAGTTTTTTAATATATATATATATTTTTTAAAATATTTGCTGTGCTTTATATCCCTTAAAATTCTACCTATATATAGTCAAAGAAATTAAAGAGTTAAAATCTAAATATAAATTAGACAAACTTAAAAACACTTCAACTGCAATTGACTTTAATTATTTCGTCATTTGTGATTTTACGTTGCCAATCTATATATGGTATATATATTGTGTCTAGCTATTGAGTGGGTAAATAATCTCATTACATGTCTCTTTCTATGCCTTCTCGCTGCTGACACTTGTAATGTGGTTCACCTTCAATGAATGCACAAATGGCCAATAGCCGGAGCTAGCTGCAATAGCAGCCAGAATAGAAGAAGAAGTAAGAAAACAAAAACTGGATTCGAGCAATTGTCGAGTAACTGAGAGGGTGTAGCTAATGCAAACTACAAGCTGCAAACTGCAAGCTGCATACGGCTCTGTGCACATGCACATGCACATGCATGTAACCCAATTTCAAGACCGCACAAAAAGTGCCAGAAAAATAAAACAAGAAGTAAAACCAGGCGCGAAGCAAAAAGGCTTCACTGTGGCCTGGGCAGACCACAAAATGTATTTCACTCTGGTTCAGTGACTTGGCTTGGCCTGGCTGCAAAACACGTTATATACCGCTTGGGGACTTTCATTGAGATCACTCAGTGAAACTGACCAGACCAAAAACCAATGACCAAAACCAGACCACATCCAAACGCACATATCGAATCTGGTTTATGGGCATTGTTGGACATTTGTTCGGCTCGAAGGGGAGGCCAGCTTCCTTGTTCAACGGCCAAATTATGAAATGCTGTGCGCGCCAAACGAAAGTGGTGCGGGCTACCCACACCACTGAAAGCCACTTACCGCAGGCAGAAGAAAAACTATATAAATAATCAAGACGTTTTCCGCCTGTCCAAATGCTGAATTGCCGTCGTTTAGCGAGCGATTGCAAGCGCTCAACACACAAAGAGTGTCTCTGTCTGTATCTCTGCCTCTGTGTCTGCCTCTCTACGCCCCTCGTCCGACGCCTGACATATGCGTGGCCATTTAAATTTTAATTGCCCTTGCAACACGCGGCGTAATTCGCAGTGGACACATTGAAAGAGACATTCATTCAGCATTCAGTGTGCCATGGCTAATAAGGCTTTTCACTGGACGGGATCTGATATGCCCCGATAGGGTAGATCATCCTGCCGACTGCAGTTCGCTGTGAAAGTGAAAGGAATCTTCATGAGTTTGCATATTTAACTGCACTCACTTGCATTCGCTTAATATTTCTGGCCGTCTCTCCACTTGCCAATCGAGTGCTCTTCCCCTATCGCAAATATTGCATAAACACTTTTGAGGAGCAAAAAAGAAGAAGAAGAAGAAAAGTAAAAGTAGTGGCAGACATCCCGCAAGGGGCGGTGCTCGGCTCTGCCCTCGGTGAGCGTTTGAGGTCAATGCAGAAATATGAGCTAATAATTGTAATAAATTGACAGTGAGTGCGGAAAGTTAATTGATGTGGGCTGAGGAAATTGAAAGGTCTGCGGTTTGATCAATAGCAATTGCTGATAGTTATATACATACATATATGTATGTATATGTAGTTTAAATTAGCTTAACAAAATTGGAGCAGTCTTTACCTTTATGTTGATTGAAATAAATAAAGCAAATAATTTATGATATATTATTAAATACTATGTATGTAGATATAATAAATATAAAATAAGCCAAAAATTAAGAGAATTTCAATATGTAGATATTCAGATCTTTTTTTTATATTCTATGGATTGCATATATTTATTTTTAATTTTTTACAATTTATATGGGCGTGTTCTGCTGCTTATTAAATTTTTTTTAATCGATTTCTCTAAGTTTTTTTTTAAACATATATATTTTTTTATAATACTTGCTGAGCTGATGCATAGCCAAATTTTATTTTATTTCATTTTAAGAAATATAAAGACAAATATTTTTTTCTTATTTTATTTTATGAAAAAAAAAAGAAAAATATTTGTATGATTATAGTTAAACTAATATAGAAAACATTGGATATTAAAAATAATTATAAAGTAACTAGCGGCAGATCAAAGGTAGAGATCTGATTTCGATTTTCCTTATAAAAGTGATCTTATTACAAAATGCAAGAAAAGCTTGATGAGAGTGGCATTGCTGTGTCTCTCTCTCATTCTCCCTCTCTCTCTCAGTCTCCCTTTCTCCATCTCTCTTTCCCTCTCTCTCGCAGCACTTTAAACGCCTTCAAAATATGCTCCTATAATTCATTCTTCTTTCCCTTGCAGAACACGATGATATCAATACGCTCCATGGCACCTATCAATATCTGAAGAGCACTGGCCAGGTAAGCGAACAATTCTTTCTATATAGCCATACATATATATATATATATGTTTACCGATTCGCATTTGCCATACATTTGTCGTCAACATTTATGCATTTTGGTTGGCCATAAAAAAATAGAAAATCGAAATCGACTTCAACGCAACCATCCAAAACATTCTAAAAAGGTAGCTCTGCTCTGGCTCCTTGGTGTTTGATATTTATGACAATGTGCGTACTTTTGCCTGCTGTTTGCCTCTCACTCTCGCGCGCTCTCTTGCCCTCTCGCTCATCGTATGGGTTGTTCATCGTATGCCATAGCAATCGCTCTCGCTCTCGCTCCCACGCTCTCTCTGTACCTCTCTCTCTGTCTTTGTCATACACGCATACACATACCACATATACACATGCACCCACACATACATATACACATATACATGTACACTATATACAATAAATTAGAACTTTAGTTAGTCCTTAGCGCTCGCTCTGCTGCTCAGGCTGTGACTCTTACTCTGGTCTATCTATCTCTCTCTCCCTGTCTCTCTCCTCCTTACACTAACACAACAACAACACTTTGACTCAGTCTTGGAATTTTTGCTAGCGCAGGTATTTTAGTTGTTTTTTTTTTTTGCAATTAAATTTTGATTGAGTTAGTGCCAGATGCGCCAGTTGCATCATCGTAGAAGTGATAGAAATTCGATTAATAATTATGAAACGTAAACGCGTAAAAGGTAAGTCCCCAACTAGGATTTTCATTTAGCCAAGTGTCAGTTGCGCAAAATGCGTCGCTGACGCCGATGGGTTTATAGGCAAATAAAATGATAAAAAAATAAATAAAAATGAAAAAGTGTGCCCCGAGTCTGATGCATAATACTGGTTACCTATTGCCCCACAGCCCAATTGTGCCTGTTGCTTCAACTGAAATCCGCTTATAGCCTCCATCTCTGTCTATATGCATATGTATGTGTGTTCCATTTGCTTATGTACTACCATGTTGTGCTACCCACTCGTCTTTCCTGTGTCCCGTATTCGTGTGTGTGCTTGTGTGTGTGTGTGACAACACTTGGACAACTGCATCGGCACTTTTCGCATACCGGCAGCTACAACACCTGACCAGCACAGCCCAGGTGAACAACACGCGGCGAGCTCAACTGGATACACTATTCTTCAATCGAGTGCCAAAGGCGGGCAGCGAGAAGCTGATGGCGCTGCTGAAGCTGTTGGCCAAGCGCAACAAATTCCAGGCGCGTCGCGATCACGAACAGCTATACGAAACGATACTCATGGATACCGGCTTTGCACGCCATCTATTGGAGGCCGAGATACTCAATTGCAGCACAGCCAATTCGTATACCAAGCACATGGCCTTTCTCAACTTTACCGAGTTCGGCCAGCCCTGGCCCATCTATGTAAATCTTGTGCGGGATCCACTCGAACGGCTGATCAGCTGGTTCTACTACGCGCGCGCATCCTGGTATCTGGCCGATCGTGTCAAGACCTTTGGCAGCAAGTTCAAAATGCCCTCTGTGCAGTGGCTCAAAAAGGATTTCAATCGCTGCCTTCTCACACACGATCCGGAGTGTGTGTACGAGCAGCTGGATATGAATCACCTGGGCGATCACAGAAGACAAACCCTGTTCTTCTGCGGCCAACAGAGGGCGCTCTGCATGTGAGTACATGAGCGAATATTGGCAGGAGGCATGCTCGATCAGTTATGGGTGACAAGAGTCGGCTTGATGCAAGGAATGTGAAATTGCTCTTAAAGAAAATTCTCTGAATACTCTTTGATCTTGATGTATAAGCTTTGGATAATGAAAATTTTCGATTATCAATATTATCACTATTTAAGAATTTTATTTATATTTGATTTAATTGAGAAAATAATATGTGTTACTTCATAAATCATTAATCTTGCTGAATAAGCTTTGAATGATACAAAATGTATATTATTATTATTATTAGTTGAGAAAATAATATATAATACATACATATTATAATATAATTTTTTTATGTATTTATATTATTTTATGTATTTTTTGTGAAGTCAAAATCAATATTATAGTAAAGCACTCTAAAAAAAAAAAGCAAAATATAAATAAAATTTACATTCTTGTCAAAAGTTAGATTGAAAAAAAAAAGTGATACGATTATAACTAAAATACAACATTTGCTTGGTTCAATTAATGAAACTCTAAATTATTACGTAGCCAAAAATCCACTTATTATTGATCCATTTAAATCTATTTATTTTGGAGCCCATTTTCTTATTGCATATTCGACTGAATAAATAAGAAGTAGATAATAGATTACACACATGTCATATGAATATAAGAAATATAAAAATATTTGCTCAATCCGGTCAAGAGAATCCTTAGTAAAGTCCATTCCTTAAACATCATACGACTTCGAGTCACTGCCAACTCGTCGAGCAACTCTCGCAGCGCAGCCGTGTTCACCACAAGCCCCCCGTTCGCAGGCCCTTCAACTCCCGGTCGGCCATGCAGCAGGCCAAGCGGAATGTGGAGCAGCACTACGCCGTGGTGGGCACCTGGGAGGATACGAATACAACGCTCCGTGTGCTGGAGGCATATATACCTAGATATTTCGCCGGCGCCACAGACCTCTACTATGCCATGCAGAGCAATATGGAGAATGTGAATCGGAATGCCTTCAGGCCCGCCCTCAGCGAGCAGGCGCGCGCCCTGCTCAGTCGCAATCTGACGCAGGAAATCGAGTTCTATCAGTTTGTCAGGCAGCGTCTGAATAAGCAGTTTATAGCAGTGCAGCAAATGGCGCAGAGTTCGAACAATTAGCGCATAAGATTTCAAGAATAAAGTCTACTTTAACTTTCGGCCAGCCTGGGCCCTTTCAAAACTCTCAAAACTCTTCTAACTGTGTAGTGTGTTGCTTGAATCAGGAACTGGGCATGGGATCTACATACAGCTTAGATCTTTAACAAAAAACCAAACCAAACCTACTCCAGCTACATGGCCGCAACGGCCACTCGCGCAGAAGTGGCGAGCAGATGTACGATGAATTGGACCATCATGGCATAGCGCATACATCGCATAATCATCTGCACAAGGCCGGGCACGACAGGCAGCTGGCGATGCCAAGGAATGACGAAGAAGATGATCTTTACGATGATGACGCCAACGATGATGATGATGATGATAATGATGAGGCTGGTTTCAATTCGGCAGCAGATGCGCTGAACAACACCAAAAAGGCGGAGGCGGACTTTGTCTTCTTCAATCGCGTGCCCAAGGTGGGCAGCCAGTCGCTAATGGAGCTGATGCGTCGCCTGGGCAAGATCAACGGCTTCGTGCACGCCCGCAACAAGGGCAGCGTCAAGGAGACCATTATGCTGCCCAAGGAGGAACAGAAGACTCTGATCGGCCATCTGCTGACACGGCCCATGCCGCACGTCTACAGCCAGCACATAGCCTACATCAATTTCACCCGATTCCAGATGCCACGCCCCATCTACATAAATCTGGTGCGAGATCCCATCGAGCGCATCATCAGCTGGCATTACTATGTCCGGGCGCGCTGGTACTACAATGACATGAAGGCCAAGCTGGGCGACAAAGCGATCAAAATGCCATCGGACGAGTTCCTCAACCTGGACCTGGACACCTGTGTGCGCAATCGCGATCCGCACTGCACCTTCGAGCAGATGCAGGTGAAGAATCCGGCGGGCGATCATCGCCGACAGACGCTGTTCTTCTGCGGCATGAACAGGAAGCTGTGCATGTAAGTAGTCAGGGCAGGGCTCGGAGCAACAGCTCTCACTGAATCTCTCCCCATTCCCGAGTCAGGCCCTTCAATTCGCCCGTGGCCATGCAGAAGGCCAAGCACACCGTGGAGTCGGAATACGCCGTGGTGGGCACCTGGGAGGACACAAACATCACGCTGACCGTGCTGGAGCACTATATACCGCGTTATTTTCGCCACGCCAAGGTGGCCTACTATCGTAAGCTCCATTTGAGTTATATTTTGAGTGCTGAGATTGGATTCCTAAAGTTTGCGTCGCTTTTGCAGTGGGTGAGGAGCACTTGTCCCGCATCAATCGCAACAATGTCACGCGCATCGTGAGCGACGAGACGCGTCAGATCCTACGCAAGAATCTGACCAACGAAATCGAGTTCTATGAGTTCTGCAAACAGCGTCTCTATCTGCAGTACGCAGCGCTTGGCAACGGCAAACGCTTTGGCGATGATGACTATTTGCTGATGCCGGAGATGCGCGACGACGATGCTAAAGACGACGAGTATTAAACAGACGTGCATATATATATACATATTTGTAAATATGTATATACGCGTATAAACTAAGCTTCAATAAATTCGTAAATTAAATAATAGATTTGTTTACTCTCAGACTGTCACCAGCTCAGTCTGTTTATAAAGCCTTTTGTGGTCTTAACTATGTCTCTCTCTCTCTCTATCCCTCAGCCCAGTGAAGTATATCATCTAGTATATATTTCAGGGCTTATTAGTTCTTATTATATATCGTGTAGTGGGACCTGTTGTCCATAAGAGACCTGAGATTGTAAATGTTTATCATGTTTTACTTCTCTATAATTTATTATCGATAACTTGACTTGAATTTTTCAAGCAAAACTTCAATATCATTAAAGATATTGATATTAGATACTCGATTTTTTTTTTCATTTTTCATTACCTTTTCTTACTTTTTATAAAAATCAAAAATTGGATTTTGTTTTTGAAGCGTTGTTTGTCCGCCGTAAAATTTGTTTGTAAAATTTTGATAATATTCAAAAGTTAAAATACCAACATTCAAACAGGTTTACAAAAGTATATACATTTAAAAAAATACTAGAAATATTACAAAGTACATACAAAGTATTACATACATATAAATGCCAATATTATGATCGGAAAATGTTAATTTATAAATGTTTAAAACTCAGTAAACAGAGAGCGAATCAGCATGTGTGTGTGTGTGAATATATTCTTTATTGTGAAGGCTTTGAATACTTGACAAATCAGCTGCAAGAATAAATAACTCTTTTGTGAGCTAGCAGGAATAGAAGATAAGATATCATATTAAATCTAAATTATATTTATAGAAGATCTGACATTATAGCGTCGAGCTCAGATTAAAAGTAATATTGCTGTGATCTATGATTTCATATGAAATCTCTGCATATATGTGAGATCTGAGAATGGTTTTCCGAGCTCTGAGCGAATATCTCAACTCTGCTTAGATATAAAATTGTTGTAATGCAAATCAGAGATTTGCTTTTAATGCTCCAATCGAAACTCATCTAATACGACTTCAAAGCTCTTCTTGTAGAACACTGATCTCTGATCTCTTTCAAAAGTAGTTTTGATAGCTGCCAGATTAGTTCACTTGGGATCACAACTTCTTCAACTCTTCCACTAACTCGCTTCGCTTAGCCCGGCCCCTGCCACACGCTCGCATGATTCGCATGACTAGCAATTCTTTTGTCTTCCGTTCAAGCTGGGTACTCTGACAGCGGCTCAACTGAACAATACACCGAAAGCTGAACGCGACTTCATATTGTTCAATCGCCTCGAGAAGGTGGGCAGTCAGAGTATGACAAAGCTGTTGGGCCATTTGGGAGAACTGCACGGTTTTGTTACCTATCGCAACGAGATACCGCCCACCAAGAAGATTGTGTATGACTACGAAGAAGAGAGGGCCTTTGCCGAGGAACTGCTCGAGCTGGAGGAGCCATCGGCCTATGTAGAGCATACGAATTGGATTAATTTCACGGAGCACGATATGCCCAGACCCATTTACATAAATCTGGTGAGGCATCCCATTCAGAAGGTGATCAGTGCGTATTATTATCATCGCCATCCCATGATCTATGCCAATAGCCTGTTGCGCAATCCGAATAAGCCCACAGAGAAAAAGGAGTTCTTCGAGCGGTCCTTCAACGATTGCGTTCGCCAGCGCATCGCCCCCGAATGTGTGTTCGATCCACATTTGCTCTACAACGGCGATTGGCGGCGATTCACATTGCATTTGTGTGGCAATCAGAATGTTTGCACGTAGGTAATTGGCCACTTAGTGGAGGGCCTGTTGGTTTAATTGCTGCCATTCTCTAGGAATTTCAACTCGGAGATGGCCACCCAAATCGCCAAGTTGCATGTGGAAAAGGAATATGCCGTGGTGGGCACCTGGGAGGACACGAATATCACGTTGGCCGTGCTGGAGGCATATATACCTCGTTTCTTTGCCGATGCCACAAATCAGTATTACTGTAGGTCCCTTAGTTCTCTCTCGTTCTCTCCCTTCTTGACTTTTCCTAATGTCCATTTTACATGTTTTCTCTGTGTGTTTGTGTGTGTGTGTGTGTGTGTACAGCACATAAGGAGAAATTTATGATAAATTCCACGCCGCACGACAGTCATCTAGATGAGGATGTGGAGGCCTATCTGAAGCAACAGTTTGCCTACGAAATTGAGCTCTATCACTTTTGCAAGCAACGTCTCTATAAGCAGTATATAGCCATCAGGAAGCAAGCAGTCCAAGGGCAGGAGCAAAGCTCGGCTGAAAATAAACAGATGTAAAACTCAAGAGATTCCGAATTTATACTCATGAAACTCAAAATAATGAAGAAAAAAAATACTCATTTCTTAAAAAAATACAGAAAAAATAATGTATTTTACTTATTCTTTATTAATTTCCCATAATTCAGAAATGTTTTATAGTCATTTAAATCTGGTATTATAATACAATTATTATAATTAGAATTGAAGAAAATTTCAAACGAGTCTTTTCCATTTTCCGCTACTAATCTGAGGTTGGGTTTCGGCTAGCCGCTTGCTGCTTGCACTCACTGTACTGCGATTCGATTTTAAGGGCTCTCTCGAACGGTACTTGCAGATCCTGCAGCTGAATGCCAATGAACTGAATAATACCAAGAACGCAGAGATCGATGTGGTCTTCTATAATCGTGTGCCCAAAACGGGCAGCATCCAGCTGATTGAGCTGATGCGTGCGCTGGGCAAGGTGCACGACTATGATGTGGAGAAAGATCCACAGAATGGCGGCATTCGAGCGCTGCTCGACAGCGCCGAGGAGGCCGACTGGATAGATAATATCGTGAATCTCGAGGATGGCACCGTCTTTGCCAGCCACGTTAACTATCTGAATTTCACCAAGTACCAACAGCCGCGACCCATTTACATCAATATGGTGCGCGATCCGGTGGATCGTGTCATCAGTTGGTATTATTATATACGCGCCCCGTGGATCTTTGTGCCCGGCCGGCGGCGCAACAATCGCCAAATGCCCAATCCCCAGTGGGTGAACACCGAATTCGATCAGTGCGTGCTGAGCGGCGAGAAGGTCTGCACCTACATTGAGGGCTCGCTGCTGGAGCGTGTGGGCGACCATCGCCGGCAGACCCTCTTCTTCTGCGGCCACAATGAGTTCAAGTGCACGTGAGTGTGATGCAATGTCTTAGTTGAGGTTCTCTTTCCACTTCCACGTTCAATACCCCACCCTACCCCCCTACTGCAGACCCTTCAATTCGCGCCTGGCCCTGCAGCTGGCCAAGCAGAATGTGGAACGCGAATATGCGGTCGTGGGCACCTGGGAGCACACCAACGAAACCCTGGCCGTCCTGGAGGCCTATGTGCCGCGCTACTTTGCGGACGCCTCCAAAATGTACTACTGTAAGTACAGAGACGATTGCCGTCGCAAATATGGCCTGCCTAATGAGTACATGCTTTGCAGCGGGTCTTCACGCGACCAAGGCCAACGACAATCCGATGAAGCCTCACATTAGTGAGGACATCATAAATATGGTGCGACGCAATTTTACGCGTGAAATCGAGTTCTATCAATTCTGTCGCCAGCGACTGCACAAACAATATCTGGCACTAAAACTCAATGATCTGATGCGTGTGGATAATAGTTTAGCGGAGCTGAAAGCGGGCAACGATCTGGCCATCAGGGATTAGCTAGTGTGGCACTTAGTCTAGATATAGCATCGAATTTTTCCAATTTATTTTAATAAAACAAGATATTGAACAAGATATTTATTTCTTTATATAATTTAAATTATTTTAATAGGATTATTCATTGAACTTTAGTATTTCTTAAATGCTCTAAAGCTGAGAGGAATGAAATGTTTAAATCTATGTGGGAATATTTAGTTACCCTTGCTTAGGTCCTGGTCTTAAATTAAGTTGACTTCATACTATATATGGTCAAGCCTTTGCAAATAAAACTTGAAAGAATTTTCAGTTTTATTTCTATTGGATGTTATATTATTTTATTAGGACTTTTTTTATATGCAACGGAGCTCAAATATTTTTTAAACTAAAGAATTTCTTATAATTAATATTTTTATTATTATTAATTTTTTTCGTTTCATTATTTTGTATTTTATTTTATTTTTTATTTTTATTTATTTATTTATTTTTATATATTTCTTTTTATTTTTTATTTTTATTTTTTTATTTATCGATTTATTTTTATTTTTATTTATTTATTTATTTTTATATATTTCTTTTTAATTTTTTGATTTTTTTTTAATTATTTATATATTTTTATTTATTTATTTATTTTTTATTTATTTATTTTTTTTTTTTTTTTTTGTATCATTATTATTATTGTA